GTGATGGAAGACTTACCAGGGTCAGGACTCACCCCTAGCTTCCTGCCTGAGCCCTGCTATTAGGCTTCAGGCTCAACTATGGCCTCAGGCATCTGAAAACATACATTGGCCTACTCCTCACGCCTGCGGTTCTTCCTATGCCCACTCTAGGACCTCTACACCATGTGTCCTCCCCCCCCCCAGGTTCTTCTTATCATGTCACACTCAACTATTCATGGGGCTGGGCCTTGTGCCTCCCTTCAGGCTTACTCCCAGTTCATCCCTGCTCAATGTGCCCCTGGGACTGCCCTTCAGGCCTAGTTCCTGTTCAGCTCTACTTAGTCCCCCATCACGCACAGCCCTTCAGACCTATTCCCATTCAACCATACTCTGTGCAGGGCTACCTACATCCTTGCCCTCTCAGGGCCTTGACAACTGCCCTCTCTCTCCAGGGCCACAACAACTACCCCTGACCAGAGGCCTCCAGGGTCTTCCACCCCTAGGGCTTAGGTGGCCATAGCCATACCTGGCCCTCAGACCCACCAAATTGTGGGGGCTAGGGGTTAAGGTGCCCCAACATGCCTTTCACCGGAGTAGCAACTGGCCTGGCATTTCCTGGGGGCTCCCACACCACTAGGAGCCCCACCAGGCCACCCATGCCCGGCAGGGTGCCCAGGACCAAGAGTCTCCTAGCCATCCCCATAAGTGCTTGCCCTTACCTCCTAGTGTTCCTGCTGCAGCTGTGCCAGGCAGTGTTTCTGCCTGGGTTAGCAGCAGCAAACTGCAGCCTTTATATGCCTTGTTCTCAAAATGGCTGTCACCATCAGGCACCTGCTGGATGCCTGACTCAGACCTTGAAGTAGCAGGCACCCAAAGGTGCAATGCCATACATGTATATAAGGGCTTCATGAGGCTCCTCCCCAATGTGATTAATTCAACTGAGTCTTTACAGAATGTTTTGCTGTCTTCTTAAACCCAAAGTTAAAGATATAATTTGCTTTTCTTGTAATTAAAGCTGCAGTGTCTGATATGTGGCAATCATTTTGCCCCTCCTTTTTACTGCATGATGTGAATGTACCCTGCTAAAAGAAAGATTTACATAATTATTATACCAATGCCTGCTGACTTCTAAACCAGGAGTCTCAGGGTAACACGTTATGTTAGAAATGATTGGACTACATTATGCATCCGTTGCACTCTCACATGTAAATGAAAAGGTAAGCAATACCTATAATATACATTATTAAAATACTTCTTTTGTTGTCTACCAATTTGCAATTTAGTTATCAAATTAATAGGATCCAAAAGAGCACCTGACACCACGCAGTTTTCTTAGCTATGCTATTTCAAAACCATTCCATTTCTCTCCTGGGGACAGGAGGTGTATATCTAGGTTTTATTACCAAGGTAGTTAGCATGAAAACAGTATAAATACTTAACATTTCATCTGATCTTACTGTTTATTCTCTACACCTAAACTCATAATCTTCTTCTGACATAACCACTTCCACAGCAACTGTTTGTGATGTCACAAACCAATTATGAGTTCAAATAAGCAGCAGAAATAGATGAACTCCTAAAAACTAAGTAAGATGCCTGTCTCATGTCAATGCATCTGGTAATAAAATAAACTAGGAGAAGAAAGAGAGCACATGACACCAGCACAATGGGTTAAAAAAATGCTTTTCCAAGTTTTATGGGAGGCATCAATGACCCTTTAAGGACATTCATGGTTGTATGATAAAATAGGATTTCTTGCAGATGTGAAATTCTTATGACAAGGCATTTATTGCTAACAGTAATATGCCTAGAAATAGTTAGGTTTTTTTATGTGTGGAGCTTATGTGCTCTTCTGCTAGAAAATCTTCTCAAAAGTTTATCTAAGCTCTGCTACTCTCACCTCGTTCCTTTAACCCACACAAATAGGCAGAGCTGTGAGATATCACAGCACATTCATGAAAACTTGTCCCTGGAAGTCTGCTTTATTCCTCTAATAGGAATAAACATTTTCTTCTAGAAGTTAGTAGCTGCAGGAAAGAGAATGCCAACCAGAAGGGGAGGTGGAAAGCAATGAGACCACACAGGGAAGGACTTGGGAGAGGAACCCAGAGAGCAAAGCACCTCCCAGCAGGAACTTATTCTAGTCCTAGCTGAGTGAGTTACTCTAAAAGAATGTCCCCAGCCAGGGCTGTCCCGGGGTAGGGGGGTGGAAACGAATCGGAATGACCACCCTGGGCCCTGCACTTTGGCTCTCAGCGGAGCTGGGCAGAGCAGCCACAGTAACTCTGCGCTGCCACTGGCTTCATGTCTGGCTGCACAGCATCCCCCACCCCGCCACCGAATCTGCCACCAGCTTCCTTGCGGCTGGGGGTGGAACCCCGCACAGGCTTATTTGCCCCAGGCCCTGCACCCTGCTCAAATTGTCTCTGTCCCCAGCCATAATTGGGATTTGACAGAGAGAGTTGAGGGAAGACAAGAAGAGTGCTGACCAGTGGTTAAAACCCAAAACAGGGAGCCAAGCATCCTGCCACTGATTTAGTTCCATGTGATCAGTGGCAAATCACATAACCTCCATGCCTCAGTTTCCCCCCGTGACTAACTTTCAGCATTGTTTAGAACAATAGTGTTTAACCTGCAGCTTACAGAACAGATCCGATCCCAGAGTGACTGAATTCAGTCTGTAGCATATGGAATCAGCAGCAAACGCATCACCCTCCCTGACCTGTGCCAGGCCACTGACACCCTTCCTGCTCTTTTCCTCCCCTTCCTCCCTCAGGCAAGCACTACTTACTAGAGATAAGCTCTCTCCCTCCCCTATGGCAGGTGTTGTTTATTGTAGGTAAACTCTCTTCCTCTCTCCCTCCCCTCCCTCTGACATTGGTAGCCACCCAATCTCCCTTTTTTCATCCCCCTTCTCTCCCTCCTCATCGCCCTGTGGTGTAGCTGGGTCTCAAGCACCCAGCCTGCTGTTCTACAGGTTAGAACATGCATTTTGTAGTGGAAAATTGACTCCTAGGTCAACAGAAGTTATACAGAAACCAGTATAAGTGATCAGAAATGGATTCAAACCTGTAACGCACCAGAAGATCAGTGCACATAAACTACTTTCAAAATGGCTGAAACTGGTTTAAGATAAACCTGGATGGATGTAGTATAAGACTTAATTGATTTAGGTTAAATCAATTTCTTGAACTTCTGTCCCAGATCCCCTCCAGATTCAACTTAACTCACAGTCTCCCAGCATCCTTTATGCTTTCCACCACCCCAGTAAACCACCCCTCTACATGGAAGTCCACAGTGGATGAAATCTTGACTGCTCCCCTACCTCATCCTGCAGTATACTGAGAAAAAGGGAAGAGAGTCATTATTTTTCTCTAAATGAAGGAAACCTTTCCAATGCTGGAAGCCTAGCCAAGAAGGTTAAAAAGGCTTATTAGCCTGATGTCTTTGAACAGGAGTGTCAAAGATACATCCCGCAGAACCCCATCATCTAGCCCAAGGGTGGACAGAGTCTGGCATGTGAGCCAGATTGGGCCCATGGCAGACTCTGTTTCCCAGCAGCCCCTGTCTGCATCACTGCAACTAGTTTCCATGGAGACCCCAGGAATAGCAGTGCCATAGCAGTGCAGGGCCAGCATTTCCATAGAGACTGCCACAGCAGCACTGGCAGGGTGCACATCAGGATGGGGAACTGTTCTAGGGCTGGGATCTTGCAGCAATGACAGAGCCAGGACAGAGCTTCAATCTGCTGGCCCTAAGGCAGGGACAAAAAGAGAATCAGGGTAAGATCACTGTTCTGGAAATCATAGAGCATGGAGAAGAACTAATCTCATGGGGGCACAAAGCCTTTCCTTATGTATACAGTAAAGAACTAAATGCATAAGTATGAAGCACATGTGTTCTACTGCTTCCAAATGGAGACATTTTTAGAGAGATAGTTGCTGATGCATACACAGGTTTCTTTCAGGTGCCTTAATATACTTTAAGCACCCCTCTGGAGAGATTCTGTTACCTAAATCTGCCATGTGGGTTGCATCTTGAAATGTATCACATGAATTTACAACAACATTGGTAGTGTCAAAAGTACTAAGGTCTGACACATTCATCTGGAGAGAGCAAAAAACCATGACCAGAGGCTCTGAACAGCTCTGAAAAGAGCTGGAGCTGGTGAGCTAAAACTAAACACACAAATAAATAAAAATCCATGCAGCAGATTCACATATGAAGAAAAAACATAATGCACAAAGTTGGTCTCAACCTTATGGTGGCCATTGCTATTATGCTTCTCCCAAGACACGAAAAAGGGATACAAAGAATTTTGGAAATGATGAATTTTGTAGATTTGTTAAAAATATACTGATCTGATTAAAAAGAAAGCTTCCCAGTCACTGATAAAATATGGACAGTGATTACAAAAGCAATAGCTCAGGAAGAAACATAAGAATTATCACTTACTGGGTCAGATCATAGATTTATCTTGCCCACACAGTGGGGCAGAGTGGATGCTGAAATGGAGAGAGAACTGGGTATGGCCAGGGCTTTTCCCACTGTTTCTCTCTCACTTGCAGCCTCCAGCATTTAAGGTGTAGAAAATTCTGATTCAGAGGTTTCATAGATTTCATAGACATTAGGGCTGGAAGGGACCTCGGAAGATCATCGAGGCCAGTCCCCCAGTCCGAAGGGCAGAAAGTCAGCTGGGGTCATAGGATCCCAGCAAGATGAGCATCCAATTTGCTCTTGAAGGTGTTCAATGTAGGTGCTTGAACCACCTCTGATCGCAGCAGTTTATGACAGTTCGACCTCGTCATCCCTTGGGGTTCTCTGGTGAACAAACATTCCCTCAAATCTGGGTGGTCACCCCTGATAAACTTATAGGTGGCCATCAGGTCACCCCTGAGCCTGCGCTTTTCCAGGCTAAAGAGCCCCGTGGCTCTCAGCCTGTCATCATAAGGTCTGTTTTCCTGACCTCTGATCATGCGCGTGGCTCTTCTCTGGACTCTCTCAAGCTTCTCCACATCTTTTTTGAATTGTGGAGCCCAAAATTGGACGCAGTACTCCAGCTGTGGCCTCACCAAGGTGGAGTACAAGGGGAGAACGACGTGCCGGGATTTGTTTGAGAAGCATCTATGGATGCAAGGCAGTGTTTTGGTCACTTTAGTAGCCGCAGCATTGCATTGAAGGTTCATGTTCATCTTGTGGTCAATGAT